GGGGGATCTTGAGGGGTTCTTGGTGGCCCCAGGGGGTTGTGGTGGTCCCATGGGGGATCTCGAGGGGGTTGTGGTGGACCCATGGGGGATCTCGAGGGGTTCCTGGTGGCCCCAGGGAGGTTGTGGTGGTGCCATGTGGGATCTCGAGGGGTTCTGGTGGTCCCATGGGGGATCTCGAGGGGGTTGTGGTGGTCCCATGGGGGATCTCGAGGGGGTTGTGGTGGTCCCTTGGGGGATCTCGAGGGGTTCCTGGTGGTCCCATGGGGGATCTCGAGGGGTTCCTGGTGGCCCCAGGGGGTTGTGGTGGTCCCATGGGGGATCTCAAGGGGGTTGTGGTGGTCCCATGGGGGATCTCAAGGGGGTTCCTGGTGGTCCCATGGGGGATCTCAAGGGGTTCCTGATGGCCCCAGGGAGGTTGTGGTGGTCCCATGGGAGATCTCAAGGGGTTCTGGTGGCCCCAGGGGGTTGTGGTGGTCCCATGGGAGATCTCGAGGGGTTCCTGATGGCCCCAGGGGGTTGTGGTGGTCCCATGGGGAATCTCGAGGGGTTGTGGTGGTCCCTTGGGGGATCTCGAGGGGTTCCTGATGGCCCCAGGGAGGTGGTGGTGGTCCCATGTGGGATCTCGAGGGGTTCTGGTGGCCCCAGGGGGTTCCTGGTGGTCCCATGGGGGATCTCGAGGGGGTTGTGGTGGTCCCATGGGGGATCTCGAGGGGGTTGTGGTGGCCCCAGGGGGTTGTGGTGGTCCCATGGGGGATCTCGAGGGGTTCCTGGTGGTCCCATGGGGGATCTCGAGGTGTTCCTGGTGGTCCCATGGGGGATCTCGAGGGGTTTCTGGTGGCCCCAGGAGATTCCTGGTGGCCCCAGGGAGGTTGTGGTGGACCCATGGGGGATCTCGAGGGGTTCCTGATGGCCCCAGGGGGTTGTGGTGGCCCCATGGGGGATCTCGAGGGGTTCTGGTGGCCCCAGGGGGGATCTTGAGGGGTTCCTGATGGCCCCAGGGAGGTTGTGGTGGTCCCATGGGGGATCTCGAGGGGTTCCTGATGGCCCCAGGGGGTTGTGGTGGTCCCATGTGGGATCTCGAGGGGTTCTGGTGGCCCCAGGGGGTTCCTGGTGGTCCCATGGGGGATCTCGAGGGGTTCCTGATGGCCCCAGGGAGGTTGTGGTGGTCCCATGGGGGATCTCGAGGGGTTCCTGGTGGTCCCATGGGGGATCTCGAGAGGGTTCTGGTGGCCCCAGGAGGTTACTGGTGGACCCAGGGAGGTTGTGGTGGCCCCATGGGGGATCTCGAGGGGTTCTGGTGGTCCCATGGGGGATCTCGAGGGGTTCCTGGTGGTCCCATGGGGGATCTCGAGGGGGTTCTGGTGACCCCATGGGGGGGTCTTGAGGGGGTTCTGGTAGCCCCAAGAGGTTCCTGGTGGCCCCAGGGAGGTTGTGGTGGCCCCATGGGGGATCTCGAGGGGTTCCTGGTGGTTCCATGGGGGATCTCGGGGGGTTCCTGATGGCCCCAGGGGGTTGTGGTGGTGCCATGTGGGATCTCGAGGGGTTCCTGATGGCCCCAGGGGGTTGTGGTGGTGCCATGTGGGATCTCGAGGGGTTCCTGGTGGTCCCATCGGGGGATCTTGACGGGGTTCTGGTAGCCCCAAGAGGTTCCTGGTGGCCCCAGGGAGGTTGTGGTGGCCCCATGGGGGATCTCAAGGGGTTTCTGGTGGCCCCAAGAGGTTCCTGGTGGACCCAGGGAGGTTGTGGTGGTCCCATGGGGGATGTCGAGGGGTTCCTGATGGCCCCAGGGGGTTCTGGTGGTCCCATGGGGGATCTCGAGGGGTTCCTGGTGGTCCCATGGGGGATCTCGAGAGGTTCCTGGTGGTCCCATGGGGGATCTCGAGAGGGTTCTGGTGGCCCCAGGAGGTTCCTGGTGGCCCCAGGGAGGTTGTGGTGGACCCATGGGGGATCTCGAGGGGTTCCTGATGGCCCCAGGGGGTTCTGGTGGTCCCATGGGGGATCTCGAGGGGTTTCTGGTGGCCCCAGGGAGGTTCCTGGTGGACCCAGGGAGGTTGTGGTGGTCCCATGGAGCTCTCAAGGAGTTCCTGGTGGCCCTGGTTGGGTTCCTGATACCCCCACGGAGCTCTCAAGGAGTTCCTGGTGGCCCTGGTTGGGTT